CCAGCTACTCGGGAGGCTGAGGCAGGAGAATCGCTTGAACCTGGAAGGCAGAGGTTGCAGTGAGCCGAGATTGTGCCACTGCACCCCAGCCTGGGTGACAGAGTGAAACTGTGTCTCAAAAAACAAAACAAAACAAAACAAAACAAAACAAAACAAAACAAAACAAAAAAAACAGAAAATAGAAACCCCAAGCTGGAACCACATGGGTTCTGCCACCTCTCCACTCCTTGAATCCCTGTTTCTCCTGGTCTAGTCAGTTCAGTAAACCCTCCACCCTTGTCCGTCATTCCAACAACCAACAAGAAGAGCAAATAATAAAACCTACTTGTCATAGTTTTCCTGCTCTTTCTTAAGAAGGGGTTACTATTTAGATCTAATTACTTAAGATTGTCTATTGGCCCAGGAGCAGCTTTCAGTATCCTCCAGGCCTCTTATTAAAACAGATGTGCTTTTCCTGTACTGAACACTAAAATACTATAAACTATCAGAGTTCTAAAATGTGTGTTTTTTTAATTCACAAATTTTGAACACATTTAAAAAGGGGCAAAAGAGTATATGATAAACGAATTCATTATGAATGAATTTGAAAGGGACAAAATAGTGTTCAATAAAAAGTGAGTCCCCCTCTCTACCTTGTCCCCCAGAAATGGCAGCTTCTCTATGGGCTGTTTTGCATCTTTTAATAATACACCTGGAGTCTGTTTCACATCAAAAAAGAACTGATTCATTCTTTTTAAAAACAATATGGTATGAATGTATCATAATGTATTTAACCAATTCTCTAGCTATGGACATTTAGGTGGTTTCCAATCTTTTCCTAAAACAATATAATAACCGCCCTTGTATACCCACATATCAGTTTGCATGTGTGAGTCTAGCTGTGCTATAAATACCTAGGAGTGGACTTGCTGAATCAAAGCTATGTAGAACTGTAATTCTGATACTGCCAAATTGCACTCCATAGACTAATTTCTACTTTGACCTACAAGCATTCTATGAGAGAGCACATTTCCTGACACTCTTGCCAAGAAAGTATGTGAAACTTTTTGATCTTTGCCACTATAAAGCATTATAGTTCCTTTGCTATGAACTATATATTTACATCCTTTGCTCATTAGTCTACTGGGTTGTTGGTCTTCTTATTATTGATTTTTAGGAGCTCTTTACATATTAGAGAAATTCGTCTGTTGTTTGTAGCATGTGTTGTAAAGACTTTCACTTTGTTATAGTTTTTTTTTTTTCTTTTTTGGCCAGGTATAAAATTTTCATTTTTTTATTAAAATGTACCACTCTTTTCTTTTCTGGATTTTTCATTTTTTGAGTCTATTATTATTATTGTTATTATTTTATTTATTTATTTTGGGAGACAGAGTTTTGCTCTCGTTGCGCAGGCTGTATGTAGTACAATGGCGTGATCTCGGCTCACTGCAACCTCTGCCTCCCGGGTTCAAGTGATTCTCCTGCCTTGGTCTCCCAAGTAGCTGGGATTACAGGCACATGCCACCATGCCTGGCTATTTTTTGTATTTTTAGTAGAGATGGGGTTTCACCATGTTGGCCAGGCTGGTCTCGAACTTCTAACCTCAGGTGATGCACCCACCTTGGCCTCCCAAAGTACTGTGATTACAGGCATAAGCCCCTGCTCCCGGTGAGTCTATTATTTTTGAAATGTTGAATTCTAGCATTTTATATATCTGAGATTTTAATCAGCACCTGTTACTAAGGACCTGTGGCCACTACGAATCTCTCTGAAAGCCAGAGAAGCTCCCTAGTCCTCACTGTAGATTTTAGTTCCTACTTGTAGGGTGCCTTGTAAATTTGCAGGGGCTTCATGGGTGCTCTTTCCTTTTCTTAGATTTGATTATAGCTGCCACAAGAACCCGAATTACATCTTAAATTTCTATATCCCCCTATATTTATGCAGCACACAGTAGGAGTCTTAAACTTGATTTTATCTATAGTACTCATAATTGTAAGAGACGGGGAAGGGAATATCGCCATAAGTACTAAAGTGGTTGAGGATCACAGGGTCCCCCAAAACCATGTCCTGCTCTCCTGAGTCTTCCTGTCACCTTTGGGTTGACAAGTTTCTGTGTGGCTGTTAGATTCAAATAGGTTTCACTTTTTAGGCTATGAAGAGGGAGCTCCTCACCAATTAAGCAGGCAGAGGCTAGAGGCCAAAGAGCCAGAGACAACAGCCCTTGTGACCCTCAGCTTCGTGTCCTTGTCCCCTTCTGAAGTATAATTCGTTTGATTTCTTCCACTTTTTAGACAAATACATATTTAACCCTGCTCCTCTACATTTATGCTAATAATCTGCCATTATCTGGCTTATTTGACTGTGAAGTCACTTACATGTTCCCGACAGTTTTTCAGGGGGCAGATGACTCAGCTGCATTCTTTTTAGCTCAAGCTTAGTTCTGAGGCAGGGGATTGAATGGGGGAGTCTCTTGGCAAAGAAACTACTGGAAGGGTCCCCAAGGACCCTATGAGTCCGTGGGCTGAGTGATCCTATCATCGATCAGGTGCCTGAACTGGGAAAACCTGACTCACAGCCTGTGGGGTGAGGGGCAAAGAAAGTACCAGATGCGGTCTCTGTCTCCAAGGACTTGGTTGTCTATTTGTAGAAAAAAATCCACAGACATGGCATGAGTACTGAAATTTACGGTATTCAGCTGTGGCTCAGAGAAGGCAAAGGCCCATGTGACCAAGAGTAGAGAAAAGCTCCTTTCTGGAAAGAATGGAACCTGAATGTGGCCTCAGAGCTGGGGTTCTGATTCTGGGGTTCTTGGACTTGGAAGTTTGATTACCAGTGGTCCACAAGCTTGTATGAGGAAACACAACGTCTCCAATTGCACCGACTTCTAATGGAAATGTAGCATTTCCTCTCAGGATGAGCGCGAGCCATAAACCACAGCATTGCAGGGGACTTGTCACTCTGTGACCACCAGAATCAAGATTTTTTTTCCTTCTGTATGTCAGTTGTTGCTTCTGTCTTCAAGCAATGCTCACCCACATCACTACTTTGAAATTATGGTAGTTTTAAGAACTACCACCAGATCTTCTTTATTCAATTAACTAAAAATATGTTACTATATACATTTTCAAAAAGGGTTTGGCCACTGCAGTTTAATATAACTGTTTCATTTTGTAGTCCTATGTGTTTTATCTTATTAATTTGAAAACATCATTTTAATATACAACAGTTTTGAGTTCTCAGTACCCAGCTTAGTTCTTGGCCTACAGTAGTTGCTCAATAAATAAACACATAAACAAACAACAGATGGGGCACAGATTTGAATAGATAAGACAGGACCAAATTACTGACTTAGTAATTGGAAAATGCATGGGCATATTTTATTTATGTATTACCTATTTTCAGAAAAAAATGTAAGGTAGCTTATTAGAACAGATGGCATACAACAGGATAGCTTAAATTAAGAGTTAAGCAAGGAAACACTAAAGTTGAGTCGTGAATGAGGCTTAAAAATAAAATCACGTAAAAGTATGGACTTGGTTTTAGCAGACAATGCAAAAACAAAAACAAAAACAAAAACAAAAAAACCTGGACAGTTGCATAATTCACAGTACACTTAAAAAAAAGCTAAGCCAATTGTGTAGAAGAAGCAGTACAGTAATTTCTCCTGAAGATTTTATCGAAGGAAAGCCAAAATTTGCGCTTTTGTCATGATTCACTTATGCATTACAGACACAAGCTTGGTCCACGGGATAAAAATCAAGGACTGAGCAGGAACTTCTCCTTAGAAATGACAAGGAACAAGGTTTGTTTTGAAGATGCCAGTTGGGGAACCAGTGGAAGCTGAGGTGAGCCTTTGCAGACCAGACCTAAAGTCAGGATGAAGGAGAAGACAGTGCCTCTTACGAGAGGTGGAAACGCTGCTGTAGATGAGAAAGGGTCTGTACAGAAAGGCTGACCGAGGCAAGCTCCTCCAAGTGTCTGGCAGTGAATGGAAAAGGGCAACAAGCACAAAACAGTGATGGGAGCTGTGACATGGGGACCCTGCGCACTCAGAGGACCAGTCATCCAGTTCATATCGTCGACACTGGGCCATTGTACCGCTGACTCTCAGCTCTGCAAGCGGGCTCATCAGGAGCAAGGACGAGGCAGAAGTTCAAAGAACTTATCTCACTCCTCATTAGTTATTCTAATAGCCTCCAGGGGGAGATGTGCAGTGAAAATGGAATTGGCGACCAGCTGGGTGACCAGGTAAGAAAAAGGGATTACATAGATGATCCCTTTTCCTCAATTCCAAAGAGTAAGCAAGCACTGGAGTGCAGTCCCGTGTGCACCATCATGTGATCCCAGCTTGTTCATGGGAACCTGCCTTTAACCCTGACCTCTGACAACTCCTTTCCTTCCTCAGCATTAAGAACTCTGGCCGGATGCAGTGGCTCATGCCTGTAATCCCAGCACTTTGGGAGGCCGAGGCAGGAGGATCGTGTGGTCAGGAGTTCGAGACCAACCTGGCCAATATAGTGAAACCCCATCTTTACTAAAAATACAAAAATTAGCTGGGTGTGGTTGCATGAGCCTGTAGTTCCAGCTACTCGGGAGGCTGAGGCAAAATAATTGCTTGAACCTGGGAGGTGGAGGTTGCAGTGAGCCGAGATCGTGCCACTGCACTCCAACCTGGGTGACAGAGCAAGACTCTGTCTCAATTAAAAAAAAAAGAACTCCAGCTCTGTGAGTCGCTCTCATCTTGTTTGACCATTCCTGTGAATGGAGGGGGCAGTGCATGCCACGCTAGGTGCAAAGATCCCCAGAGACTCCGGCTAACTCCGTAGCAGCTTGCTGTGCCCAGTAGAAACCAAAGGATAAAAATTCAGAGACCAGGGTCCATGTATCAGTCTCACCCTGCAGGGCTAAACAGGCGATCACACAAATAAATTCATCCTCATTTTCATAACCAAACACCTCAATTTTATACTTCCATGCATTCATATTAAAAAGAGAAAGACAAAAGAGAAAAAGTTGCTTACTTTAGGATTCAAGTCGAAGAAAGAGTAGTATTTAAATCGTAACAGCAGCTGCTCATCCTCTTGGATGCCTTGTTCCATAAGGGAGCGCGAGGAGTCTAGCCAACTAGAAAACGACAGCATGAGTTTTAGAAGCCAATCAATTTTACATATATATCCATTATATTATTATGTCATATATTATATTCTACATATATATATATCCTTGAACAAAATCAGGGTATGTAATACAGACTGAGTATCCCTAATTTGAAAATCTGAAATGCTCCAAAATCTGACAGTTTCTCAAAGGAGATGCTCAAAGGAAATGCTCACTGAAGCATTTTTGTTTTGTTTTGTTTTTGAGCCAGAGTCTTGCTCTGTCGCCTAGGCTGGAGTGCAGTGGTGCAATCTCGGCTCACTGCAGCCTCTGCCTCCCGGGTTCAAGCGATTCTCTTGCCTCAGCCTCACGAGTAGCTGGGACTACAGATGCCTGCCACCATGCCCAGCTAAGTTTTGTATTTTCAGTAGAGAGGGGGGTTTCACCATGTTGGCCAGGCTAGTCTCGAACTCCTGACCTCAGGTGATTTGCCTGCCTTGGCCTCCCAAAAGTGCTGGGATTATAGGCGTGGGCCACTGTGCCTGGCCTTGCTGAAGCATTTTGAATTTCAGGATTTTGGATTAGGTATGCTCAACTGGTGAGTATAATGCAAATATCCCCAAACTTTAAAAAATGTAAAAAATAAATTCTGAAATCCAAAACACTTCTAGTCTCAAGCATTTTGGATAAGGGATACTCAACCTGTATAACCAAAAATCAGTAAGCACATAATAATAGCTTGTATTTGCATTTTGTCTTTTTTTTTTTTTTTTTTTTTTTTTTTTTTATGAGACGGAGTCTCACTTTGTCACCCAGGCTGGAGTGCAGTGGCCGGATCTCAGCTCACTGTAAGCTCCGCCTCCCGGGTTCACGCCATTCTCCTGCCTCAGCCTCCCGAGTAGCTGGGACTACAGGCGCCCGATACCTCGCCCGGCTAGTGTTTTTGTATTTTTTAGTAGAGACGGGGTTTCACCATGTCAGCCAGGATGGTCTCGATCTCGTGACCTCATGATCCGCCCGCCTCAGCCTCCCAAAGTGCTGGGATTATAGGCTTGAGCCACCGCGCCCAGCCAGCATTTTGTCTTATAGTTTTCAAAGTGCTTTATAGATTTTTTTTCTCATGGATACTCTAAAGTAATCCAATGAAGGGGCTGGGGCAGTTCTTACTACCTCATCTTTCTAGACAAAGAGATTTAGTCTGAGTGACATTAGATCATCCTTAAAGGTCACAGGCCTCAGCTGGGTGCAGGGGCTCATACCTGTAATTCCAGCACTTTGGGAGGCCAAGGTGGGCGAATCACCTGAGGTCAAGAGTTTGAGACCAGCCTGGGCAACATGGTGAAATCCCGTCTCTACTGAAAATGCAAAAATTAGCCAGGCATTGTGGCACATGCCTGTAGTCTCAGCTACTTGGGAGGCTGAGGCAGGCAGGAGAATTGCTTGAACCTGGAAGGTGGAGGCTGCAGTGAGCTGAGATCATGCCATTGCACTCCAGCCTAGGTGACAGAATGAGACTCTGTCTCAAAAAAACAAAAAACAAACAAACAAACAAAAAAGTTCACAGGCCTGGGGATGGGGCCAGCTTGAGAATCCATATGTCCTGACTGCCCACACCACTTCTCCTTTTACCAGATGGTTCACCCCAATGCCAACTCTGTATTACTGTCTAGAACTTTCTGCAATGTGGGAAATATTCATATCTGTGCTGTCTGATGCATCGGTCCCAGCTGAATGTGGCTGTTAGTGCCACATTTTAATTTTAATTAATTTAAAATCCAGTCCACATTTAGACATCCACATGTGGCTAGGAGTTCCTGTACAATACACAGTAGAGGTCTGGAGTTGAGAAATAAAAACTGGGGAAAGAGGATGACCAACATGAAATCACCATCCTGAAGGAGCTGACAGTCTGTTGGGGGAGACCAAGCCTCATAACAAAGGGACGATGTGATGTTGGAGTGAGCAAAGTGTCAGGACAGAGCTACAAGGAGGGGGCCGATCTTGAAGGTAATACTTGAGCAGGAGACAGTATGTGATTGGGCGGGGGGGACTGACCAGTCAGTAAAGGGGAATGGTCCTGGAGGTGAGGCAGTGACAGAAAGAGTGAGAGTGCACCTGGGTGGCGCGGGGCCATGAGAGCACGGGAGGACACTGAGACACCTGCTGGGGCCATATCTTCTAGGGAGTTGAATGCTGTTGACAAGTTTGACTTTATCTGGTGGGCAATGGGGAACAACAGAAATGGTAGTTTCAGAAATTGTTTGGGTGTATTTTCGAACAGAACTCAAGGACTTGCTCATTAGAATACTTAAAGAGAACAGCAACAGCTGGGCGCGGTGGCTCATGCCTGTAATCCTAGCACTTTGGGAGGCTGAGGCGGGCAGATTACCTGAGGTCGGGAGTTCGAGACCAGCCTGACCAACATGGAGAAACCCAATCTCTACTAAAAAAATACAAATTTAGCCGGGCATAGTGGCGCATGCCCGTAGTCCCAGCTACTTGGAAAGCTGAGGCAGGAGAATTGCTTGAACCTGGGGGGCAGAGGTTGTAGTGAGCTGAGATCGCGCCATTGCACTCCAGCCTGGGCAATAAGAGCAAAACTCCATCTCAAAAAAAAAAAAAAAAAAAAAAAAGAGAAAAGAGTGACATTCTACAAAAAACAATGTAAGCCTTGTGGGTCACCTTGGATCTCCCCCACTGGCCCATGGGGACCAACACACTTATTAACTACCCTACATCCCATAAAATATACTTTGCATATCTGTAGTGGCAAAGAATTAGTATTCACAGAGAGTAAATCTACTGAGTTACCCAAACATGTAAATTTAGGCACACTTTAAGTATACTGAAATGACCAAAGGCTGAATTTTTCCCCTTTGTTGCTAAAATCAGCACTAACTTTTGCAAATAAAGTACAATCCCTAGGCCTACCAACTTGAAAATGAAACATGACACCCCATCTCTTACTGTGTCGGCACTAGCTCAGGGAGAACTAAATGGAGCTGTGTCCTTACCCTGCATTGAGCTTGGCTTTATCAACCAGAGACCGAGGCTGGTACATATCCGCAAGTGCTTCCGGAGACTCGGGGGGTTGGCTGAATGCGAGGATGCTGCAATTTTGTTCCGTCAAAGGGCTGTCACTGAACCAAGTCATGGTGGATGACACTGGTGTTCCATTGATGGGGTCGTATATAGGAGTCATGGTTTTACTGTATAAACCAGGACTTACTGCAAGGCAAGGGGAGTATGAACTATGGTATGAGAATCCAGGGATAGAAATCTTCAGGAAAATATTAACATTACTTACACTAAAATGAGTTTTGACTTTAAATTTGGCACCATTTAAAATAATATAAGTCAAGCTGGGCACTGCGGCCCACATCTAATCCTAGCTACTTGGGAGGCTGAGGTCAGAAGGCTGCTTGAGCCTAGGAGTTTGAGATCAGACAGAGCAACATAGCAAGACTTCATCTCAAAAAACAAACCAAAAAAACCCCGTGAAATAATATGGATCATGATGGTAGAGAGATTAGTAATACACAGGTAATGGTCTTATCTGTAAATTCAGCTCCTCAAAAGCCTTGGAACTCAAATATATAAAAGCCTACAAAAATCAACACAGACAAATGTTGGGGACCACCTCTTTTCTTTCTTTCTTTTTTTTTTTTTGAGATGGGGTCTCACTCTGTCGCCCAGGTTGGAGTGCTGTGGTGTGATCCCGGCTCACTGCAACCTCCACCTCCTGGGTTCAAGTGATTCTCCTGTCTCAGCCTCCTGAGTAGCTGGGGTTACAGGCACCTGCCACCACACCCGGCTAATGGAGACCACCTCTTTTCTAATAATTCAAAGTTTTCCTACTTCAGTAGGAGTCTTGGTACTATTAGAGAACTGGAGGCCTCATAGAATGCACGTACCCAATATGTTTCAGATGGCCCCATAAACAAACAGCAGGACTCGCCACTTTTAACAATCCAGTAGGCTGATGATTTACAAATCAGCTGGCTCTAATTTGTACAATTTGTCCTTTTCATTAGAATATACTATGCAAGAAAGCCCTCAGTCTTGGCCGGGTATGGTGGCTTATGCCTGTAATCCCAGCATTTTGGGAGTCTGAGGCAGGCAGATCACTTGAGGCCAGGAGTTTGAGACTAGCCTGGCCAACATGGCAAAACCCTGTCTCTACTAGAAACACAAAAATTATTCAAGTGTGATGGTGCACAACTGTAATTCCAGCTACTCAGGAGGCTGAGGCACAAGAATCGCTTGAGCCCAGGAGGCAGAGGCTGCAGTGAGCCGAGATTGTGCCACTGCACTCCAGCTTGGGTGACAGAGCGAGACTCTAAAAAAAAAAAAAGGAAGAAAGAAAGCCCTCAATCTTGCAAGCAAGCTAGAGATTTGATTGTTTTGATATAAAAAGAAAAGGATACTTCTTCTCCAGCATTTTCACCTGCCCTCCTCTTGCACACCCCATAAAAAAATCGAATTCAGGAAAGAATCACACAATGATAGAATTAGGAAGAGAGAAGTGTATTTAAGTGATTTAACTTTTTTCTTTTATTTTCTTTTTTTGGGAGAGGGTCTTGCTCTGTCACCCAGGCTGAGTGCAGTGGCACAATCTTGACTCACTGCAACTTCCACCCTCAGGGCTCAAGCAATCCTCCCATCTCAGCCTTCTGAGTAGCTAGGACCACGAGCATGCACCACCATGCCCAGGTTATTTATTTATTTATTTATTGTATTTTTAATAGAGATGGGATCTCACCATGTTGCCCAGGCTCGTCTCAAACTTCCGAGCTCAAGTGATCCACCCACCTCAGCCTCCCAAAGTGCTGGGATTACAGGCATGAGGCACTGTGACCAGCCACTTACCTTTTTTCTAAATATCACTCTTTTATCCCAAATTTGTGGTCAGTGGTACTAAAATTTTGCATTCATTGGCAACATCAGATATACAATTCAAATAATGAGTTATTAAACATGCTTGAAAAAAAGTCTGAAACACATTTCTGTCAATTCTAAACTTGACTAGATAGCCTTTCCTCATTACATCAGTTCTGCAATTTTATTTCTCCTTTGTTTGGTGGGCGTGGGAGGAGAGGTATATTTCTCTCTTGAGTTTTACTGTACGTTCAAACAACAAAACACCTGTCACAAATCTTACCTGATGAACCTGAGGCTGTTGGAGAACTCTCCAGGTTTAGAACATCTTCAATTATGGGTTCCTTATTATTTTTATCTTTTTTCTTCTTCTTCTTAAAATAGTCACCAGAAGGCTTTAACAAAGAAAGCTCTTCTGATCTTCTAATATCTAGAAATAATTTTTTTTAAATGAAGAAAAAGAAAAAGTAAAAAGAAAAATCCTTCTAAGACTCAGAGTCATTTTGTGCATTTGAAATCATTTCTAAGGAAATTTCTGAAAAGTAAATGGGACTAAACTGCATCCCTTTTGAAGAAATAGAAGGGGAAAGGGGAACGGAGACCTCCAAAGTAGGTGGGGGGAGAAAATAGTGGAGGGAGATTAAGTCTAGTGAAATTTCTAGTTAGAAAAATTATTATAAAAATATTTCAAATGTATCTAAAACAACAGGAATGGTATAATGTCCCCTTCATGTGCTCCCCAGCTTCAGTCATTATTAGTTAGCATTATGCTATTCTTGTTACCTATTTACCACCAACTTTACCTCCCTCTCTCCTTTTTTCCTGATATGGTTTGGACGTGTCTTCACCCAAATCTCATCTTGAATTCCCATGTGTTGTGGGAGGGGCCCAGTGGGAGGTAACTGAACCATGTGGGCAGGTCTTTCCTGTGCTGTTCTCGTGATAGTGAATAAGTCTCATGAGATCTGATGGTTTTATAAGGCGTTTCCCTGCACAAGCTCTCTCTTTGCTTGCTGCCATCCATGTCAAGACGTGACTTGCTCCTCCTTGCCTTCCACCATCATTGTGAGGCCTCCCCAGCCATGTGGAGGGGACTTTAATGTAAGTCCATTAAACCTCTTTCTTTTGTAAATTGCCCAGTCTCAGGTATGTCTTTATCAGCAGCATGAAAACAAACTAATAGACTTGCCTTTGTTGCTCCCTCTCCCTTTCCTTTTTCCAGTTTTTTAAACAACCAACAAGGGTCCTGCTTCCTTTTTTCTTTATAGACCACAGATCTTGAAAGTCTTTCTTTTACACACTGCCCATCAGCTCATTTCATCCCTGTGGCGATGCCCTCATGCCCTGCCCATTTCTTCTTGGTCCTCACCATTTCAGCACACCTGGGTTCTGGTGGAATCCAGACCATGCGTCTTTCTGCCAGAGGCTTTGCTCTGATGGCTTGCCAGGGTCTGCACTGCAACAGCCTACACATTCAGGGAATTAACGCTCCCCAAGAGCGGCCTTCGGTGACTGTCCAGGATGCTGCATAAGCATCCTTACCCCGAGGCTGTGTCTACACTGTCTCCCAGAGGTCGCCAGCTGCTGCAGTGTAACCTGATTGGTGACACTCTTCTCTTTTCAGTCTTACTTCCCTGTCCCCAACAGTATTTCCTGGCATCACTTCCCAAATGAACTATCTGTACTTGAATCCTTATCTCAGGGTCTGCTTCTGGGAACTGAAACTATGATAATCCCCATTTCCCCCATTAATCAAATATATTTATAATTGCTGATCAGAATTGCTGATAACCTTTAACTGCACTAGTGGCTATCATTCCAGGTAAAAGTCAATTAATTTGGACTTTTAGTCTCTGAGCAGCTTTGTTGAAGGTAAGTGCACTGATTCCATTAAGTTCTGTCATCGTTTCATTCATATACTGCTCGGTGCTGAGACTGAACCTAGCAGTTTAACTTGACTCTCCCCAGTAGCCAAGGACTGTCAGGTTGCAACACACCTGTGACCATTCCAAATGCATAATTTATACACAAACCCGGTCATGAATAAAAAATTTCACTGTGAGCACTAAAAGCAAAACAATAAAACAGAAACACCTTATCTTCAAGGTCAAGATTTGTGTCTTTTCTGTTCTTCAAGGGAAAAACCACTAAACTGCTGCGTTTGATTTCACTTCAATTGATAAGACATAAAATGCAATGATTAGAAATGCCAAGTTGAGCCTTTAAAACTATTACAAAGAGATAATCAGGAAAAGAGAACATCTGATTGCTTCTGTTTATTTGAAAACTTGGCCGGTCGGGGTGGCTCAAGCCTGTAATCCCAGCACTTTGGGAGGCCGAGATGGGCGGATCACGAGGTCAGGAGATTGAGACCATCCTGGCTAACACGTTGAAACCCCGTCTCTACTAAAAAAAAAAAAAAAACTAGCCAGGCAACGTGGCGGGCGCCTGTAGTCCCAGCTACTCTGGAGGCTGAGGCAGGAGAATGATATAACCCCGGGAGGCGGAGCTTGCAGTGAGCTGAGATCCAGCCACTGCACTCCAGCCTGGGCGACAGAGCCAGACTCCACCTCAAAAAAAAAAAAAAAAAAAAAACTTTACGTTTTTAGTTTCAGCTATGATGTGTGCTTCCAGTCCACTGTGGTGTGTGGAATATAGTATTTTATTTAATCATTTAGTTTGTTTTCAAATCCTCATTAGAATATTATCAAAAACACAAGGTATCCTCATGCTTGCCATTTGCACACCAGGGACAAGATTGCAACTTACATTCTGTAATGAAAGGTTCCATTCATTTGTTCACTCAACAGTTATTGTGTGCCAGGCATTGTGACTGGAGTGAGGAATGCAGAAATGCTCAGGAAATGGTTTCTGCCCTCACCCTATTTCATCTACCATACCAGCCCCCACTGCCCAACCCTGGCATTCCCAATCCTGCTGATGCTTTTTCTCTTTTTTGGGGGGTACTATCCATCCCCTTTTAACCTCTTATATTCTTTTTTAACTTGTTACATTTATATGTTAAAATTTGTTACATTTACATTTATTGGTTAGTGTCTGTCTCTGCCTGCTACAATGCAAGCTCCAGGTGGCAGGGATTTTAGCTCTGTATTGCTACTATATCCCTAGCTCTCACCACAATGCCTGGGACACAGTAGGTGCTCAATAAATATTTGCTGAATGAGTGAATAGTTTATGGTTTAATGGGAAAAATAGATTACTCACTATGTATCACTATATATTATCTATTCTGGGTTCAAATGTTGATTTTTGATTTTGGGACCAATGAATATGCCTATAATACTTTCAAAAATTATAAAATGAGAATACCTTTATGGTGTGTTTCCCTCCCTTTATGGAGTTTTATAAAGAAAAATTGGTTTGGGTAGTGTTGTCTTTATGACTATTAAATTATAGGATACCAAATCTGTAAATAATTAGATTTAAGTTCACAATTAAGTATACTTTTCTGCTTAATCACTTCGTAAGTGATTTTTGTGGACAGGGTTATTTACTTGAGCCAGGTCTTAAGCAATTAAGACTTTGGAACACCATTATCTCAAAAACAATAAAGACACATAACTCTATGGTGATTAAGTATTTAATACAATTCTTTTTAATCTTAAATACTGTACAAAATGTTTGAGTATAGCTTGGATCAATAAATGGGGAGGGCAATCTTAATGGTTTATCTTGTCTATTTACAAATCTCTTTTGGAATAGTTTTAAGCTTTGTGGAGATGCACCTGATTTATGTCAATAATGTTCTACTTGGCTTAACTACACTTAAATGGCTGCAATACCCAGAAGGGCTTAAGCATGTGCTTCCTAATAGGTGAATGTTCTCTAGCCAATTGCTTGAAGTAGGCAGAATGCACACATAATTTTCCTGTCTTCCTTTACAAGAGTCTACAGGGCACAGGGGCCCTTCCTGGGTACTTACTCAGGATTTTGCAGATATCACTGACAGCTTTAAAAACCACAGCTGAGAAGCTGACTCGCAACCTCACCATCTTCAAATTCGGCAGGCGAAGGCGCAGCATTTTATGCTGAGGGGTGAAGAGAAGCTTTGCATCTGCCTGGACCCCATATTTGTCCAGGGTCCAGTGGGTTTTCAGAAGCCAGCAATGCTTCTGTTCCCACCAAAGAGCAAAGTCTGACCAGTCTTGGGATATGTCTGCAAAAATGAAAACACAACTAAGTAAAATGAGAGAGAGCCCAGCTTGGAGGGTTCTGGAGTTGCAGAGTCAATTTCATTGTGTGCGAAAATGTAAACCAACAACTGATCTTCAGTTCCCCATGGCCTTTTACAATCCGAGGCTCAACAACTTTTGGCTTCTTTCCAAAGTCTCTCAGGACAACATAGGGACTGGGATAGCATTAAGAGAAAATACCTAATGTAGATGACAGGGTTGATGGGACAGCAAACCATCATGGCACGCGTATACCTATGTAACAAACCTGTATGTTCTGCACATGTATCCCAGAACTTGAAGTAAAATAAAAAACACTTAAAAAATCAAATAAAATAAAAAATTTAAAGATAAAATAATTTAAAAAGAAAAAAAATGATAGGGCTGGGTGCTGTGGCTCACACCTGTAATCTCAGCACTTTGGGAGGCTGATGCAGGCGATCACCTGAGGTCAGGAGTTCGACACCAGCCTGGCCAACATGGCAAAACCCTGTCTCTACTAAAAATACAAAACTTAGCCAGATGTGGTGGTGGGCGCCTGTAATCCCAGCTACTCCAGAGGCTGAGGCAGGAGAATCACTTGAAACCAGGAGGCGGAGGTTGCAGTGAGCTGAGGTCATACCATTGCACTACAGCCTGGGCAACAAGAGCAAAACTCTGTCACTGTGTCTCAAAAAAAAAAAAAAAAGAAAGAAAAATAGGGACTAAACCTTACCATCATTTACGTTTAGCTACTGTGGAGGAAAAGAAAAATAAACGTGTTCACAATGAATGCTCAAGTTCTCTTCGCTAAAATCTCTCTGTGCCATGGCCCTTTCTGAGAAGGCTGAAAGCATCTGACTTTGTTTAATCAAGATTATTTCTGTTATAGAAATGTATCCTTATACCACTGTGTCACAAGGGAGTAGCAATAGCCTCCAATCAAAGTCCACACAGAAGTACGGTACAATTGACATTTCATTCTTCTCAGTAATGTCCAACTCTTTATCAGTACCGCCATATCCAAAGTGTCTAAATTGAAGTCAGAGTTAAAGTATTTTCTCCCTCTCAATGTTAGCATCAATGTCAATCTTTCCCCTCCTTTAACGTTGGTATTAAAATAGAATCTTTCCCCTTCATCAATATTGGAGTCAATTTTTAGTCTTTTATTTTGCAAAATGAAGAGCTACCAGTATCTTTGTTTTCTTATTTTTCTTTAAATGTTTTTTCTTTCTCTTTTCAAATTAGAAACTCTCTCTCTCTCTCTCTTTTTTTTTTTTTTTTTGAGATGGAGCCTCCCTCTGTTGCCCAGGCTGGAGTGCAGTGGCATGATCTCAGCCCACAGCAACCTCCGCCTCCTGGGTTCAAGTGATTCTCCTGCCTCAGCCTCCCAAGTAGCTGGGATTACAGATGCGCACCACTGTGTCAGGCTAATATTTTTTTGAGACGGAGTCTCACTCTGTCACCCAGTCTGGAGTGTAGTGGTGTAATCTCAGCTCACTGCAACCTCTGCCTCCCGGGTTCAAGCGATTCTCCTGCCTCAGCCTCCTGAGTAGCTGGGATTACAGGCATGCACCACCACGCCCAGCTAATTTTTGTATTTTTTGTAGAGACAGGGGTTCACCATGTTGGTCAGGCTGGTCTCGAACTCCTGACCTTGTGATCCACCCGCCTCGGCCTTCCAAAGTGCTGGGATTACAGGAAATTTTTGTATTTTTAGTAGAGATGGGGTTTTACCATGTTGGCCAGGCTGGTCTTGAACTCCTGACCTCAGGTGATTCTCCCACCTTGGCCTCCCAAAGTGCTGGGATTACAGGCGTGAGCCACCGCGCCCGGCCAGAAAACGCTCCTCTTAATGCTGTTAGTAGAAGCATAAATTGGCACAACTATTTTGGAAAACCTTATTAATCAGCATTTTTTTCTCTGAGTTATACCACCCAACAGAAATGATCACTGAAAGACAGGTGTTATAGCAGTTCTGTCTGTAAGTGCATGAAAATGGAAACAACCAAATGTCCATTAAGAGGTAAATGGATAAATAATTGTGGCACATCCATACAATGGACTATTATATGGCAATGAAAATGAACCAAAACAATATGCAACAGTATGGATAAATCTCACAGACATAATGTTGAGTGAAAGAAAGTCGATGTGTAAGAGTATATCCTTTGTAATCTCATTTGTCTAAAGTTCAAAATCAAGCAATGATTCCTGTGGTGATAGAAGTCAGGATAGTGGTTATCCTTGGTGGTAGTGACTGGGAGGGGTCAGGGTATGGGGCTTGGGTGGGGAACAGGTGATGTTCTATTTCTTGATCTGAGTGGTTACAAGACTTTGTAAAATCCATTTAACTGTTTATAATAAGTGAAGCCTTGTTTATGATAAGTGAATTTTTCTGTATGTATATTATATGTCAATAAGGACTTACTGAAAAAAACAAACAACAAAAAACTATCTTGCTAGAGCAAATGAAAAGCCAGCATCTAAGGCCTTAAATAGAAGGTAAAAGAAGCACAAAGAAAATAGAATGTTATTAAATTCTAGGTTGACAATATTGACTCCTGATGTGAAGAGTGTAACCCTGAAAATTTCTTTCTTTGTTTAAACAGGGAGCATAGTAAATGGTGGATAAGTGTTAAAAGACTCCTCAGCACCAATTCATCACTAAGCTATCAAGTATTTACAGAGAATTAACACAGTAGTCTAATGCCAAGCTACCTAAAGTCACATTAGATGTCACCAGTGGATTGGGTCCCATCCCTGTTGAAGTCCAGCATTGTAGCTACTGGGAACTTTAGCTTGCCACCAAAGACTCAGGTTTTTTTTTCCCCCCCGAGACCGAGTCTTGCTCTGTCACCCAAGCTGGAGTGCAGTGGCGCGATCTTGGCCTACTGCAACCTCTGCCTCCTGGGTTCAAGCGATTGTCCCGCCTCAGGCTTCCAAGTAGCTGGGATTACATGCATCCACCGCCATGCCCGGCTAATTTGTGTATTTTTAGTAGAGATGGGGTTTTGCCATGTTGGCCAGCCTGTTCTCGAACTCCTGACCTCAGGTGATCCTCCCACCTCGGCCTCCCAAAGTGCTGGGATTATAGGTGTGAGCCACGGCACCCGGCCTGGGCTATTTCTTTCTCTCCTCTGGGATGAGGCATGGGGGATTGCTCTCCAGGCCATTATAAGATAAATGATCGGAAAAACCTAGACCAGCCATTAGTGGTGATGCAACAGACAGGGTTTCAAATACAGAGAAATCATAAAGCAAGAGTAACTTACTGATCTGTTCTACTAACTTGAGCATCACTCCCCCGACATGAAGGTCTCCAGATACTCTCAGTGTGACGTCTTTCTGCTGCTCTTCATTGGGATGGTCAACGCGGACCACAAGCTCCCAAGAAGCAGATGTAAAGTCAGTGGATGACAGCATTGTGGCAGACGCTGGTGTCTGCTGAACACAAAGACAGACATAGATTGGAATATGGGAAGGAAACGGGATGTGTCAGTAGACTAGCAGAGCCAAATTTCTTTTTTGTTTTGTTTTTTCATTGTAACCTCCTCTTCAAAACACTCTGCAAGGTTCCCGGTGCTCCAGATATTAAATTCAGCACCTTAACTTTAAAGACAAAAAGTTTTATAAAAATGGTCTCAAACCATCTGAATTTATATACTTCATTTTTCCACTCACCCACTCCTCCAAGACTACTTGGCTATGTATTTTCTTTGTCCACTCAATGCTTCAATCTTCATTTTCTCTCTGTTGACTTCTTTTGCCCTTCTCTCAACTATTCTGGCAATAGGCAATCTTCTATGTTACCTTTTAAAAAATCAGTTTTATTAAGGTATAATTTGCATGTAATAAAATGCACAGATTTTATATACTATAGTTCAACATGTTTTGTTGTATGCAAATTATACTTCAATAAAGTTGATGTTTAAAAAGGATGTCGTTAAAGCCTCTTATCTTTAACATCTTTAATACATGTCTATTATTATATTCCTCCTACAAAAATTTATATCTTCTTGTAATAAAGCTCAAAAAATAAAAAAAGCAAAATAATTCCTATTTCAGTCATTATAATATATAGTTTTACTTTAAATGCATATAGATTACAGGTCATTAATAATTATTGCCATGTATTTGATTTACTTATTGTTCTATATCATATAAAAATTGATTATCTAAATTCACCAATTAAGTATTTGGATACATCTTTTTTTTTCTTTTTTTTGAGATGGAGTCTCGTTCTGTTGCCCAGGCTGGAGTGCAGTGGCGTGATCTTGGCTCACTGCAAGCTTCGCCTCGCAGGTTCACACCATTCTCCTGCCTCAGCCTCCCGAGTAGCTGGGGCTACAGGCGCCTGCCACCAAGCCAGGCTAATTTTTTGGTATTTTTAGCAGAGACAGGGTTTCACTGTGTTAGCCAGGATGGTCTCGTGATCCGTCCACCTTGGCCTCCCAAAGTGCTGGGATTACAGGCATGAGCCACCGCGCCAGGCCGTATTCGGATACATCTTTGGCAAAAGATTTAAAAACAGGAGTAACAGATATAAAAAGCTCACTCTTCAAAGTGCAGATGGAGGTGTGAACTTCAAACCCGTAGTTTCCCCCTCATTGGAGAAGCCAGCAGGAAAGAATGTTTACAACTGAAATGTTTCAGGGGGTAACAGGAACACGGGAATCCAAAATTGGCAGAACTGAAATAAAACTTGAGATGTCAGTTCTCTCTTATTTTTAAACAGAAATAATGCTACTGCTCCTGGCCGTTTTAAACATTTAAAGTAAAAATTATTTAAATGATAATGAGTCTTTTTCACTTTACCATGTAAATCCAGTTTATGAGAAATTCATGTTTCCATAAAGCCTATTTTTGAGAAACATCAATGCACTCAAACTCCTAAGAAAGGGCTCTTCTGAGGGTGTATCCCCATTTATCTGCATTTTAATAGGATCCCCTAGGGGGATATTTTTTGAGCTTTATTTTGTATTTTTAGCCATTTGAGTACAAGAGGCTGCAGAAAGAAAGGGGGTAAGGGGGCTCAGGAGCCACTGGTGCCCATCAAAGCCTCCCAACCTCCAGCTCCCCAGCCTTAGCCCTGGAGCACCCACCTCCTTTCCAGGAGCCTGTAGTGTCCTACGGGATCCTATTAAAATGCAGATTCTATTCAGCAGGTCGAGGACAGGCCATACATTTCTTAACAGACTCCAGATGTTGCTGGTCTGTGGCTATACTCAGTTCCTCCCTTCAACCTATTTAGAACAATATTAAACCAGGGATGACGGTAATATCTGAGGAACATTACTTTTAATAATAATTAAACAACCAGTGTCATATCTGTTCTGTGTGTTCATTTGAAACAACTCATTTGTAAGCATAAAAGAATCTCAAAATACGCCACACAGATAAATTGAATACTGCAAATCTGAACAGATTTAGGACAGATTTTATGGGTGAGGATCAAATTTAAGAGTTCAGAAGTAGCTCCTTATGTTTTGGGTTTTTTTTTTGAGATGGTCTTGCTCTGTCGCCTAGGCTGGAGTACAGTGGCACGATCTTGGATCACTGCAACCTCTGCCTCCCGGGTTCGAGCAATTCTCTGTCTCACCCTCCCAAGTAGTGGGGATTACAGGCGTGTGCCACGATGCCGGGCTAATTTTTGTATTTTTAGTAGAGACGGGGTTTTGCCATGCTGGCCAGGTTGGCCTTGAACTCCTGACCTTGTGATCCACCCGCCTTTGCCTCCCAAAGTGCTGGGATTACAGGCATGAGCCACCGTGCCCGGCTGCTCCTTATGTTTTTATAGTCAGAAGCATGCAACGATGCAATGCGTCTCCTCCCCGTGTACAGAGATACACACAGAACCCTCTGCATGAGGAGTGCCATTTAGTGACTGCATTAGGCCTAACTGCTTGCTTCTGTCATCATCAACTTCAAGTATCATTTATTACCTACTGACTGTATGATGTGCTCTGTGTTAACTCCTGTCTTCTGTTATCCCTTTATCATCCTCCCAGCAATCTCATTTAGAAATGAGGAAACTCAGCCTCAGAGAGATGAAGCAACTTGCCCGAGGTCACAAAGCAAGTTAGATGCTGGAGCCCAGACGGAAATCCAGGTCTTTCTATTTCAAACTCTTGTCCACCACACTGGGAAACCATTCTGATAATGTTGCAATGCCAACATGAAAGAAAACTCCTCAAACTACATGAACTCAATTCTCAGTAGCCTTTACTAAGCATGTCTATCAACACAAATCTTGTGCAGTGAGGAGACAAAAAAAGAGACCCTTTCATCGTCAGACTCATAACTTGGCATTGAACTGTTCGACTTTATGATCCTTACAATTTCTCAAATACTATGATTATGAGGTCTAGTTATTTAAAATGTTTTGTATATAAAGAAACTAACTTTTAAAGGTGATTCCTTACGGGGCAATCCCATATAAGGTCTTTTCTTTTCCTAACCTGGGTGATCAAAACACAACTCATTTAGGCTATAGATGCTGATTCCCCTTACAACAAAATGCAGGCTAAAATTAGCCAAGCAGGTTTTCCTGCATTCCTTTCCTATCTTTCTGCGCCTTCATTTTTGAGTGAATGTCTAGTCTGCAGCAAGCTGTTACTTGTTAAGGATAGCAGCAAACTTCAGCCGGGAAAACGCATCTAAGGAGACCAAAACAAGAAGCAAAGCTACCGGCAGAGTGAAACTCAACAGCCCTTCACCGAAAATCAAAGAAAGGAAAGCAGGGAAGGAGGGCTGGAGGGATGGAGAGCAGGAAGGAGGAAAGATGAGGGGGAAACAGTCCCCGACCCTTCCCCTGGAAGATCTGAAGGTGCTTGGTGTTCGAAGGCCACTGAACCTGTCTTTTGCCAGCTCTGCAGGATCCTGGGGAGGATGTTGGGTGGATAAGCCTGCCCCTTACTCCCATTAAGGCAGCACCTGCGGCTGAACTGAAAGTTTATTTTGCGGCCAGATGCAGAGGGCCGGAGAAGGTGGTCACATCCAGACGAAATTATTTTCAATCAATAGCCATTTGAGTACAAGAGGCTGCAGAAAGAAAGGGGGTAAGGGGGCTCAGAAGCCACTGGTGCCCATCAAAGCCTCCCAACCTCCAGCTCCCCAGCCTTAGCCCCGGAGCACCCACCTCCTTTCCAGGAGCCTGTAGTGTCCAGCCTCGCAGTCGCGCACGTGGAGAGCTGCGTCCCTACAAACTACCCCGGGCCAAACCGAGGAGCTGGCGCTGGCGAAGTGGGGAGCGGGGGGCGCTCGGTGGCGGCGGCTGCTCAGCTAAGGCTGAGGCAGGTGAGGGCTGGAGCCAGGGCGCGCAGGCAAAGCTGCCTTGGGACCGCCCGCGGAGGCTCGGTGCCGGCCCCCAGCCTGGCGCGGCGTGCCAGGTGCACTGCACGGCCCCCAGCGGCCCGGCTGAGGGCAGCGCGCGGCGGGGCAGGCGAGGGCACGCCCAGCGCGGGCCTGCTAGGTCTAGCTCCCGCGGAGAGGAGGCGCAGTCTGCAGATTTTTAAGGGCAAAGGGTGGCCGAAGGGCTGCTCTGAGGTGAGAAGGCGGCGAGAACCCGGGGCGCACGCTCACTATCTGCAGCTCCTCTTGCGATGTCTCATCCTGCCCCTTCAAGGCAGCCTCCAGTTTCCCTGTTCCCCCAGGCCCGCCGGGGACTAGCCCAGATGATTAAAGCCGCGCCACTTCCCCTCCTTTCAGGCATACCCATCCCTCACACCCCGGGGTTTGTCCAGGCGCAGGAGACTCCAGCCTCCCGGCTAGAACAGCTTGTCTCCCTTAGAAAGAGCCCCGGAGCACCTGTGGTCTGCGAGGTGGTGGCAACAACAAAAAGATTCGTCTCTGAGTAAGAGGATGATGTCAGTCTCCAGAAGGCTGAGGCTCCCGACCCGGGAAGACTCCAGGAGACCCAAGGGCAGGCTGCATGCGGAAGTCTGGGCCACACCTGGTGTGGCTCACCTCAGGATCACCACCGGTCCCGCCGGTCGCCTTCCTGTTGTTGGATTTATTTTCAAAGAGGGCTGGGGCCACCCAGGAAGGGTGGGTGACCTCGGCAGTTTACACAACCTCCCCAAGCTTCCTTTGTTCATTTAATGCACATTTGTTGAGTGCTTACTGCTCTACAGGCCTCCGGATGGGCCTGGGCTCCCAGAATACTGTGGTGAATAAAACAGACATGGAAATGTCAGTTTCCTCATCTGTGAAATAGGTAGAGAGATAGAATGCCTGCCATCCCACGGAGGAATTTCACGCAATATAATACAGGCTTCAGCGATTTGCATTAAAAGGCTTGTGAAGACTTAAATTTTAATAAAGAAGTTATAAAATGTAAAAGTTGAATCTCTGTTTTTGCTTAAACATTACCATATTCAGGAATTATTATGGTTTGAAAGTACATTTAAAAAGGTTAGTTGAACACTGTTGGCAAATATAGGATATTATAATTAAAATAAAATCATTAAAAACTTGAAACAGAAAGTCTTCATTTGGTAGAGTTTGTCGACGACGGGAAGTGTCATCTGGTCCCACTTCCCTACCTCTTAACACCATGAGCAAATCTGCTCTCATCTGGGTAGAAAGTATTTAACGTTTGCTCTCTGAAAACCCTGCTCATGGACCATTAGAACTTAGACTGTGGTCAATACATGCACACACACGCACACACACATATGTATATTGTTGTTTTAAGGTGGAGTCTTGCTCTGTCCCCAGGCTGGAGTGCAGTGGCGAGATCTCGGCTCACTGCTGCAACCGCCGCCTCCCAGGTTCCAGTGATTCTCCTGCCTCAGTCTCCCGAGTAGTTGGGACTACAATTTTTGTATTTTTAGTAGAGACAAGGTTTCATCATGTTGGCCAGGATGATCTTGATCTCTTGACCTCATGATCCACCTGCTCGGCCTCCTAAAGTGTTGAGATTACAGGTGTGAGCCAGTGTGCCCACCCTGTGGTCAAGATTTTATGTGTGACCTTGAATTATGGCTCTATCTATTTATACCAACATGGGCTTTTCTCTTCTCAGTTGAAAATATCTGCATTGTGCTAAAGAATTCAACTGGTTTTAAGCTTTCTTCTTGGCCTAGGTTAATTTTTAAACTTTTAATTATATGTAGTGACTTGTGTGTATATAAATGTGTATTATATATACACACACCCATACATATACACATTATATATAGATAAGAGCACAAATCATGAATGTATAGTTGATGAGTTTTCGCAAACTGAACACACCTGTATACAGAGTATATAAAGACAGTAGTGTATAAAGAGTGCCCAGTTGAAGAAACAGGACATCACCAGTCCTCAGAAGCCCCTTAGTGACCCCTTTTAGTTATTCCTTTCAGTTTTGATCACCGCTGCCGGCCCATCCCGCTATCCCAGGCCCAGGATAACCATTATCCTATCTTCTAACTCCTTAGAGGGGTTTTGCTGGTCTTTGTACTTTATATAAATGGAATCAGACCATGTGTATTATTTCGTGTCTGGCTTCCTGTGTTCAACATTCTGTTTGTGAGTTTCATCCGTATTATGTGTCCTAGGCTTTTTTTTTTGAGAAAGGGTCTTGCTCTCCCCCAGGTCGGAGTGCAGTGGCACTATCATGGCGCACTGCAGCTTTGATGTCTCAGGCTCAAGTGATTCTCAGCCTCCCAAGCTGGAACTATAGGTGTGCACCACCACGCCTGGCTAATTTTAAAATTTATCTTTTGGGGAGACAGAGTCTCACTTTGTTGCCCAGGCCGGTCTTAAACTCTTGGGCTCAAGCCATTCTCGCATTTTAGCCTCTTAAAGTGTTGGGATTGCAGGCGGGAGCCACCATGCCCGGCTGTCCTAGGCTTTTAATTTAATTTTATGTTTTACTTATTACACGGTTACTGTTGTTCATATGACACAGGTCCAACCCATCCCCTAAGATCCTGGGTTAGAAGTGGGTTAAAAAGTATATTCCGAACTTCAAAATTTTATACATATATATTAAAAAAATGCACACCCTTTGCCCCCTTAAAAAACAAGCGTTCACTGAGTCTGTTGTTTAATTCATTCATGCATATTAATCACCAATGGATTATTTATTCACTAGTCACTGTATTACTGTGAACTAGACACCATAATATATGTTGAAAATCCTCAGATTAACTGGGCACACACTTTATCTTCGAATGGTAGGAGGGATGCTAAGGAATACTGAAGAAGGTGACTACTTCTGCCAGGTGTTTGGAGTGGTAGGAAATATGAAAAAAGGCTTCAGAAAGGAGATGATGTTTGAGATGGAATTTGAAACATTGGATAAGAGCTTCATAGTTGCTCATAATAACCTGAAGTTTCTAGAGAACTGTTTTAAGGCATTTATATATATATATATATAAATATATATATATATATATATATTTAGTTAGCAGATAGTTGTGCTTCAGGAAACAAAAGGGTGGAAGACAAAGAGAAGCTCTGTCTCTTGACTTTGAAATCTTATACATTCAAGGTGCAAATATTGAAGAAAAAGAGACCTGTTTTCAATTACCCATACACTGATAAACGCACCTTTGAACTAGTACCTTCAAAAAGGTAAATCAACTGGGTGTGGTGGTTCAGGCCCATAATCCCAACACCTAGGAGGCCAAGACAGGAGGATTGCTTGAGCCCAGGAGTTTAAGACCAGGTCGGGCAGCATAAGGAGATGCACATCTCCACTAAAAATAATAATAATAACAATAATAAAAAGTATGCAATGATCTGTGCAGCAAACACCATGGTACATGTTTACTATGTAACAAACCTGCACATCCTGCACATGTACCCCTGAACTTAAAGTAAAAGTTGAAGAAAAAAAATTTAAAAAATAATAGACATTAGCTGGGTGTGGTGGTATACGCCTGTGATCCTAGCTACTTGGGAGGCTGAGGTGGGAGGATCGCTTGAGACTGGGAGATCAAGGCTGCAGTAAGCCATGATTGCACCACTGCACTCTAACCTGGGTAACAGAGCAAGACCCTGTCTCAGTTTAAATAAAAAAAAAGTAAGTCACATCATGTCTGGGATATGGGTAGATTAGACTGAATGAGAGATGTGGCCATATTCCATATTCACTGAACAAAAAAGGGAGATAAATGAGTAAAGGCCTTTGAAAATCTCGGCTACTTTAACTTGTTAAGCACAAGTGATTTTTTCCTCTAGCACCTTTTCACTAAAAATTCTGTAGAGTTAACTTAGGTGGAATAAGAAAGCTGCTTGAGGGAGAAAAGAAGTGAATTTTTTTTCCTGATTGATGGTTTTGATGAACATTTACCCAATATAAAGTTCTCTATTAAGTTTTCAACTTATAAACCTGCTAGATGTCTGATGACTTAGAAATGGCAACAGACACCTAAAATATATCTTTATTTGCATTGAGTCTTTGGCACATACAAAATGGCAGCTGTGTTCACATGTGCAGAGAACACATTTTGCTCAGTGCAAAGAGGCAGAATGTGCCTATTATTGCTACACCCTCCTCCCCAACTGGATGGATAATGAGCACTTTCTATGCCCAGGCAAGTTCTAAAGTTTTCTCCTTGCCAGGGTGAAAAGGGTGTGTCTCAATGTACTTACAGGGCTGAATGAGAAAGAGCAAAGATGAGTAAAAATGGCTTTGCTGGGGGCTGTGCTGGAGCCCACCTGTGAGAATGAGAGAAGCAAGAAACACAGTGCCTCTCTCCTTCCTTCCCTCTTCTCCTCCATCCCCTGTTCTTCCTTACATTGCATCCTTCTTAATCAAAGGGTACAAGGGAGTATACACTGATAATTACATCTTCCTCCCATCCTTGATTACTGAGTTCCCTTCCCTGGAGATAATAGTTACCTGTTTCCTCTGAAACCGTCCAGAGATAGTCTGTGCATGTAGACAATTTCTGCTTCTTATGCAAGTGATAGTGGTCTATACATATTGTTCTGCATTTTGCTTTTCTAACTTGAAAGTATCTTGATGATTGTAGCAAATATCAGTCATATTCATGGCTGCCCATCATCCCTGGAATGGCCTCCTTAATATTTGTGGAAATCTTTATGTTTTAATCCCAGTCTAGAAGTCAGAACTCAAATTCCCAACCTTGCTTGCAGCCAGGGCTCAGGCCTATGACCTAGGCTGTGTCATTCAGATACACTCAGGCATGACTTTAATTTGGGAGTGAGTGAGGTGCAGAGACGGGATGTACTTGGAGCTTCCATCTTTTCTGGTGTGAGTGGTGTCAGGAATGAGTATGGTGGTGGTGGTGGCAGTGGCGATGGTTTTCTGGAGGCTGCAAGGTTAAAGTCCCAAGGCAGAAGTGATGTCAGTGCTAGTGGGTGGCAGTAGCAGGTGCAGTAAAGTCAAGTTCAGATTCTTCAATGGTGACTCCCTTCTCGTGTTAGTCCTATGGCATCATTTCAGACTCTGTTCTTGGTGCTTAGCTCCAAGCCCCTTTCTCCTGCTGGCCTGTCAGGTTATGTCCACTAGGACGGAGCAAGACCCTGTCATCTGTGATGATGATGATGATGATGACTTGCCTAATTATTTTTCTGTTTAAGCTAGCCATAGTGGATTCTTTGTGCCTAAGAGCTCTTACTGACAAAGAATGTGGTACCAGAAGTGGGATGCTACAAGGAACAACACTAAAAGTAGAATTGACTAAGTGCAGCAGGCAGGGCTTTGAGCAAGGAGGGGACACACATTACAGGCTGGAAAGCTGGTGACTCTTGTTATGCAGTGGCAAAATTTTGCTTCAACTACAAAATTTTGCTTCAACTACTATATACAATTCTTGAAGATGCACACTGCAAGCTGGGTGAGGCTGTGATAAGAGGGGAAATAGTGGGGAGCATTCCGAATGTTGGTTTATGTTGATGATTTCTTGCTCTTTCAGCAGTCTTGATAGAGCAGCTATACCCAGACCAGAGTCTGCCAGCTGACAAGAGAGGTAAGGAGAGAAACTGCTTTGCCAGGAGAGGCCGTCTGCTGTAGCTGGAGGTCCAAGTTGACCGAGAACCCATAATTTGGGCTGAGAAAACAAACTACCACTTTATTCAAACCAAAGCTGGCATAAGTAGCTATTGAAGGCAAATGAATAAAACCCTTATTATAATAGCAATATTATGAGAGTAAATGAAAGAGCCCGTGTATGTGTAGCATGCCTTCAAAATGCTATTGTGATTTATATTAATACATTATTATAATTATTATGGGTGTCTGCTGCTGTCTATATTTCTACCTGACTACTGGGTTTAGAATATGGATACAACTGCTAGCATGGTTGCTTTGAGGGCAACTCAGGTTTATACTTTTTGTAGCCCAGCAAATAGTTCAGTATGCTTTAAATAAAGGCCGGGAAGTAAGGGCAAAGTGAGAGATTGGAATGTTGTTCCCCACTTTGACATGCCGTCTACACTGGAATTACACATTCATACCTTTCACCATGGGACTCTGTAGCTCCTCCCATTGGAGTGGAGTACACTTCCCTGCACCTTGATTTTGGTCTTGGCCATGTCTTTTGGTTTGGCCAATGAGCAGGTGTGATACAAGCAGAGGCCTGAAGGATTTGCTCGTGGTTTTGGTTTGCTCTTCGATACTCAGCCTTTCACCACGGGAAGATTGCTCTGCCTTGAGGAGATGGTTGATTCTGGAGGTGGGATGGAAAAGCACAAGATGAGTCTGGAACACCTTGTGATGCCAGTCAATGAAGATGCCCTTGAAAACCCACAGGGAGAATGTCAGAAGGACACGGGAGGCACCTGCAAGGAGCTCCTAAGGGCCAGTCTGGGACAATGGGAGCAGCAAAATATTTAATGGTAGTAATGGATTATAGCCCATAGAATAGAATAAATATTCACCAGCCCCCCTAACATACACAAAAATGGGATCCCAGCTAGGTTTTATTTAAACATTTTTTTCCAAGTTTTGAAATGTTAAGTGACTGGTTTGAGGCCACCCCGCTAATAGATGCCAGATTTGAGATTCAAACCCCGCCCTAATGGCTCCTGCGCTGGAGCTGCTCGCACTATGCTGCCCACAGTCTCCATTCTCCGGACATCTCTGTGCGAGAGCAGGAACAAGAAGACGAAATGTTGCCTTGCTCCACCTCTGCTGGGCACAACATTAGAGGTGACTCAGTGTTTTTGCTACCAACTACAGAAGCACAGTGAGTACTGATTTTGGAGCTACAAATAAATTTTACCTAGTAGGTAAATTCACAAATATGAAATTTTGAGTAACGAGGACGGACTTTATGGAGATACAGATTTAACACCCAGAAGAAAGAGCAAAAAGAATTAGAAATAGTTGCCTCCGGGGAATGGGAGGCTGGATGGGAAGGAGAGGGGTGTGGGACTGTTTAGAATGAATAATTTTTCAAAAATATTTGATATCCACTCCCTCTCCCAGCCCTCCTCCCCTCCTCCCAGTGGGCTGGTGAGAAATGTAATTTGTCATTATTGGGTCTCGCTTTCCCAATCTCCAGCATCTCAGGAAGATCCCAATTTTACTTTAGAAAAGTCAGAGCTTTCTGGAAGGGGTCTGTGGACTCCAATTCCCACTGGTCTCTGAAAGTCTTCGTCTTTTCTAAGCGCTTACTTGAAGGAAGTGTCTGTTTTTCCTTCTGATCCCAGTTTGGGCCTGAGTCTTGCACTGTGGCTCCCAAGGCCACCTCCCTCTCATCATGTTTCTGGGAAGGAAATGGTTCCTGGCATGGGGCCATATCAACTGTGTAGTAGAAATTGCAGATGGCACAGTTGCTTCCAACTGTGGCATCCCAGGGGGTGGGTGTAGGGGTGGAGGTGGGGGTTGGGGGCAGAGGGGGATGAGCTCAAACCTAGAGTTTTCTAGCTCACCCAGGCAGCGTTCAGCAATTACCGCTTGTAAGCACTCTCTATGTCCCTGGTATAGTGCCTAGTTCTTTGCATACATTATCTCATTTAATCCTCATAACCTAAGAGTCATTCCTCATCTTACAGATGAGGAAACTGAAGCTTAGGGAGTTTAAGGAAATTGCCCAAGGGCACCCAGTTACTAAATGGCAAAGTTAGGATTTGAATTTGCCCCCATTTAACTTCCAAACCATTGCCCTCAATGGCTCACAAGATTGTTTACACACACACAGTCTCATTTGCATATTTCCAATTCTATTTAGTTTAATAGGTTGAGTTCCCACAGCTTCTGAAACAGTGTTGCTATTGTGAGGGCATCCCTTCCTCTCAGCATCACCAAGGATGGTGTGTCCTTTGTTGTCTTCCCCTTTGTTGGGACTGTTCCTTCCATCTGGACTGCCCTCCCCCTTCCTTTCCTCTTGTAGAATTCCTACCCATCCTTTAGGAACCAGCACTGCAGGGAGGCTATGGCAACAACAGCTGGAGGAAGAAGAAATTTTAACTTTCAGTAAAGATTGACATTTTAATGATTACATTGAACTGGACTAACCATTACCAAACTGAGATTTTTTTCTTTTTTCTTTCTTTTTTTTAACGACCAGCAGTGTCCGGAGCACTTTTCATGATCTAAGAGAGCCCAGATGTCTCATGAAAGCTACCCCTGGTTTTCATCCAAGGAGAGGAAAATAAATACCCCTTCTCCTGTCTCAAAAGGCAGAAGGGTAAGCAAAATAGCTTTTTTTTTTTTTTTTTTTTTTTTAAATAACACTGCAGGAGTGTTCCTTGGTCAGTGTACTGGTGATAAATATATTTCCATAATACCTAATGTAATGTGGAGCTTTGTCTTGTTTGGATATAAATGATTTATCTTACTTCCATTGAGCCTATTTTTTTGAATTATCTCCATTTTTTCCTCCAATATAAGGCTGTGCTAAATCTTTGTGCATGTGCTTAATTACTTCCTTAAAACAAATTCTTAGGAGTGGAATTACTTGGTTAAAGATTATGTGTATTTAAGAAGTTTTGGTATAATTGCCACATTTCTTGCCGAAAAGATTGTACCTATTAATATTCTCTCCAGCCACGGGTCAGAGCTCCTCCTCTAAGATCAGTGTATATTGTTAGCAGACACTGCCTTGTATTAAATATTTGGACTGTGCCAAGTGCTCTACCAGGCCCTTGGGATACTGCTTTTGACACGTAAGTGAAACTGGGCAGGAAGACATAGGAAACAATTGAAAATAAAGTATTGATAATGTATGTGGTTATTGCTTTACAGCTTACAAAATATTTTCAGGTACCATAGTTCAAGGCTTTTCAAACTATAATGTGCATATGAAGCCCTGGGGGAGTTTTTTTTTTTTTTGTAGGTTTATGTGGCCAACTCTGTCTTAAGAGGGTAAAAAAACAAAATGAAAAGGAGCTTATGATAAGGATATGGAGCTATAGCTCACAGAATCAAGGAAAACCTTCCAAGTAGACTTTGGAAAGCACAGAAACCAAGGCAAGTTGAAAATCCAGGGAGTCCCCTCCAGGCACCTCTTTGGAGATGAAGGGGCTCCATATGGTTTCAGGATTCATGTCTGTTATCGGTTGAATTTTGTCCCACAAAAAGATATGTTGAAATCTTAACCCCCAGTACCTGTGAATAAGACCTTATCTGGAAATAGGGTCTGTGCAGATATAATTAGGTTAAGATGAGGTCATACTGGAGTAAGGTGAACCCCAATCCAATATGACTGGCATCGTTATGAGAGGAGAAGAGATTGAGACACACAGGGCAAAGCTGGCCATGTGGTGACAGAGGCAGAGACTAGGGTGATACCTCTGTAACTGAAGTAACTCCAGGGACTGGCTGCAAACATCAGAAGCTACAAGATGGAGGAAGGTGTTTTAGGCAGCTTGGGCTGGTGTAAAAAATATCATAAACTGGATGGCTTATAAACAACAGAAATGTATTTCTCACATTTCTGGAGACTGGGAAGTCCAAGATCAGGGTGCCAGCAGGGCTGGGTTCTGGTGAGGGCCCTCTTCCAGGTTGCAGACACTGCCTTTTTGCTGCATTTTCACACGGTGGAAAGGCAGTGAGTTAGGTCTCTGGATTCTTCTTTTTTGAGATGGAGTCTCCCTCTGTTGCTCAGGCTGGAGTGCAGGGGCGCAATCTCAACTTACTACAATCTCCGCCTCCCAGGTTCAAGTGATTCTCCTGCCTCAGCCTCCTGAGTAGCTGGGACCCGAGGCATGCACTACCATGCTTGGCTGATTTTTGTATTTTTAGTAGAGACGGGGTTTCACCATGTTGGCTAGGCTGGTCTCGAACTCCTGACCTCAGGTGATCCACCCGCCTTGGCCTCTCAAATACCTGGGATTACAGGTGTGAGCCATCACACCCAGCCTGGATTCTTTTTCTAAGGGTGCTGATCCCATTCATAAAGGCTCTGCCCACATTACCTCTCATTTCCAAATACTATCCCATTAGGGATTATATTTCAACACATGACAGCAAACATCCGGTCGCTAAGAGAAGAATTTTCCCCTACAGGTTTCAGAGGGAGCAGGGCCCTGCTGACAACTCCATCTTGCAGTTCCAGCCTCCCGAAGTTTCTGTTGTTTGGAGCCACCCAGTCTGTGGTCTTTGTTACAGCATCTCTGGAGACAAACAGTATCCCTCTGCTCCAGGTTCAAATTCCAAGGAGCAGACATCTGAGGGGCCCAGCTTGTTCTCATGCACGGGATCATATTTGCAGGAGTGAGTGGTTCTCCATAGGGTAAAGAGAGGTTGTGGCCAAGATTAGGGAGAATAGGTGAAGGCAGCAAGAACAGGAGATGCCCCAGCACCAACCCACCAACCCACGTGTGCTGCTGGAGCCTCACGACCTGGAATGATGATTGGGAAATACACAGGCTCTTTCTGCTCCATGGGGTACTCTTTGGTCCAAGTCCCATATGACTGGAAGTGCCAGTGGGTGAGTGGTTGTTCTGTGCCTTTGAAGCCCTTTCTGGCTCCTTTTCAACTGCCCTGACTCAGGCCTACTCTATAATGAGGAGCTTTCCCTCCCCGACTCCTCGTCCTGACTCCTGGATCCCTCTCTTCCTGCACCTGTGTCACCAACTAAGGTGTCTGAATGAAGAAGATAGTGTGGTGAGGCACCTGCAGGGATACGTGGGCCAGTGTGGCAGACCACGTTCCCAAGGCACCCCCGTTCCCTCATGCCCACGGCTGTCAATGGCGAATATTTGCAGCTCTCTGTCTGATGGGGTCTCTAGCTAGGAAGTTTCTTGGCTTAAACGCAGAGCAGGCCAAAATACTGGGGCAATTAACACTCCCAGGAGCGGCCCTTAGCCAATGAGATACAGCAGTTGGTGAATCAATACCTAGCATCCTTGTCCACAGGGGGAACAACTTTGAGACTAATTCTTCACAGTTCCCCAGAGTTTCCTGGAGACTGGACTCCAGGGGTCCACTGCAATAACCTGCTCATGAACACACCTGTGACTGGCTTCTTCCTTTCCCTATCTCAGTTCCCCACCGGCTTCAGGTGCTCCCTGTGATATGGTTAGGCTTTGAGTCCCTATCCCAATCTCCTCTTGAATTGTAATCCTCACAATCCCCACGTGTGTGGGAGAGACCAGGTGGGACGTAACTGAATCATGGGGGCGTTTCCCTCGCTGCTGTTCTCGTGATAGTGAGTGAGTTCTCACGAGATCTGGTGGTTTTATAAGGAGCTTTTCGCCTTCACTCAGCACTTTTCCTGCTGCGTCGTGCAGAACGAGCCTTGCTTCCCCTTTATCTTCTGAGGTGATGGTAAGTTTGCTGAGGCTTCCCCGGCCATGTTGAACCGTGAGTCAATTAAGCCTCTTTCCTTTGTAAATTACCCAGCCTTCGGCAGTTCTTTATAGCAGTATGAAAATGAACTAATACATCCTGGGATGAGTCACCTCCCAAATACGCTTTGAATTCTTGCCTCAGGGTCTGTGTATGCGTGGTCTACCACCCAGTAACCCTGCAGTGGTGCTGATGTGCTTTGCCACAACTGCTGAAAAGCACAGAGAAAGTACTCGCCTGTATGAATGTGCCCAGTAAGGGCTTCAGAACGCCCTGCCCCCTCCACATCCCTCACACTGACTTTTCCAAGAGATAGGCCAACATAACTATGGTGCTGGATATGAGGTAGCATGGACCCTTTATTTTAACAGCCCCCAGCTAAATTGGGGTTCCAATACCAGAGCACTTAGCAGCCCTGCCAGGAAATGGAGGGGAGCTGAGCATGGGTGTCTACACGTGCTGTGCACTGGATACTTCTTTTACATGGCCGATAATCTAATGCTTAGTTGTGTTGACTGTGACCAGGGTGTGTTTCACATGAGAAAGTTGTTTATACTGGCAGGTGTCCTTGCAGCTCTTGCTGACCTGTGTCCAGTTTCTGCCTGACTGACGATTGCTGTGGCCTGGGAGCCTACCCTCATGTTCTCCCTGGCATCCCAGGAAAAACCCGGCCTGGAGTAGCCCCTGATTCAGATGGAAGATGCAAATTCAGTACACCATCGTGATAGGAAATAAATCCGAAGATTTATTACTTGCCCTGATGGCCCTCCATCCTCGGGTCATGAGAGGCAGAAATGAAGAGGAAGAGTCAGGCAGAAAGAGATAGTGAGTGAGCACACACAGCAATTAACAATATATATTAGGGAATAGGACGTGGCTCACTTGAAATTCACAGGCAAATGTCTGAATGGTCCATTTAATGGAAGTGGCAGGAAAGCGGGGAGTCTATTCTGCTAGGTGGGAAAGACATGGTGAGGTTCGTATCCCCAGCTACTGGCTTGGGCCATCTGGGTGTGGTTTTCTACTTCTAATGCCCAGGCAGCAACCTTTGCTGTATCATTTTGTTACACCCCTCCTGAAAACATCCCGCCTTGGAACAGTTGGTGATGTTGCTCTCACAGGAGAGAGAAATGGGGTCCCTGGTTAGAGCATAAGGAAAGCAACAAAGCCATGAACTTTACTCTATGTCTGGAAAATGTTAACGGGGTTAGAGACTGCCTTAGGTCAGGCTCCCTAGAGGCAGAGCTTGAGACAGGGATCCAAGAGCACGTGGTTTATTGGTGGCTCTCAAGGGAGAGTGGGCAAGGAGAGCAGGACAGGCAGGGGAAGGAACCAAGCCAGGGTGTGACTCCTGTAAAGTCTAGGTTGGGCTTGTGGAGCAATCTCTCCTTGAGATGAACGGGCTGGCCTTCTGGACCCCTGCATCAGTCAGTCAGTGGTTGTGTGCCACCTCCAGGAGAGAGGAAAGTTACAGCCTTCTGGGGGAGGTGGTGCCCATCTGTCAAGGGGTCTTGTTGGAGAAAGGATGCAGCTCTGAAAAGACACAGCTCAGAAAGGACACAGAAGCATATAAAGCGGAAGGGAAGGGCGTGTCATCCTGGTGAAGGGAGCCTGGGCAGGCTGCAGTCGGTGTTTATGACAGTGGGGTGTGTGTGTGATCTGGCAATTGGTGGATTCTTTTTATTTAAAAAGTTTTAATTTTTAAGTTGACATACAATAATTGTACATATTTATGAGGTACATAGCGATGTTTTGATACGTATAATATATAGTGATCAGATCAGCGTAATTAGCATATCCATAATCACAAACACATCATATCTTTGTGTTGGGAACATTCAATATCTGTCTTATAGCTATTTGAAATTATAGAATATATTCTTGTCTTTTTTTTTTTTTTTTTTTTTTTTTTTTTTTTTTTTTTTTTTTTTTTTTTTTTTTTTTTTTTTTTTTTTTTTTTTTATAGTTATTTTTTTTAGTTACTTTTTTTGTTTTTAAAAATGTCGCTGAAGACCGTTCTACAGTGCTATATAACACTAACACTTATTCCATCTGTTAGGTGGTGCAAAAGTAATTGCTCATTTTGCCATTACTTTTAATAACAAAACCCACAATTACTTTTGCATCCATCTAATAACTAGCTGCAATTTTGTATTCTCTAACAAATCTCTCCCTATCCTTTCCTTCCCCTTCCCAGCCTCTAGTATCCTCTGTTCTGTGCCTGGCTTATTTCCACTTAACATTATATCCTCCAGTTCTATCCATGTTGCTGTGAATGAGAGGATTTCGTTCTTTTTTTGTGGCCGAATAGTACTCCATTGTGTATACATACCACGTTTTAAAAAACCCATTCATCGGTTGTTAGATACCCAGGTTGATTCCACGTCTTAGCTATTGTGGAAAGCACTGCAATAATCATGAGGGTGCAGCTGGTTGGTGGTTTCTATGATAATCTGCTATTGAGGACACAACTGCCTTAATTATTCCCTTCTCTCCTCCTCAATCTTACTCATAGTTAAGAAAATGGATTAAAGAAGAAACACAGAGAAAGAAGTCTCATGATCCAGCTAATTCTTCATTTATTCATTTGCTCTCATTCACCATTCATTCAGAAAACATTTATTTCATACCTCCTGTGTGCCAGGGACTATGCCATAAATACGTCCAAACCCTGGTGGTGCGTCTGTAATTTCTTTCACTGGAGAAAATTAACATTTCTTTACAAAATGAACATTATCACAAGGATCCAGATCACTATACTGAGCCTTTCCACTTTTAAAATCACCCCCTCCACACATATCAACCCAACCATCCATCTACTCACCTACCCATTCACCCACCCATTGCCCTATTTACCCTTCTACTCTCCCATTCACAATTCACCCGTCTCTGCTCTTATCCACCTATCTGTTCTATTACCTGTTCATCTACTTAACTATCCACAAATGAACACCTATGGCCTGCCTAGCAATATTCCTAGGCTCATTCACTAATTTGTTCAATCAATCAGTATTTGCTGAGTGTCTTCTAAGTGCCAAACACTTTTCTAGGTGCTGGAGATAAAAGTGATGGATAAAAGTGGGGATAAAATGACAAATTGCCCTCATGAACTTTGCAATGCATGTGTGAAAGCAGACATTAGACCAATAATTAGGAAGATAAAAGGCGAGGCTGCTTCTCCCTCTCTCCTAATGTGCTTTTTCCTGAAATCCCTCTCTATTTGGTGTACTTGAAAGCTTTGATTTTTGGAAAATGTACAAAGCACTTAGCATATAAGGATAACTGGATCGGAGAAAAAGAACATCACTTCCAGAGGTGAGTGGGATTTATGTCCATTAGATTCTAAAATCCTGGAGGGCACGAAGAGTGTATGTTTCAATTCATCACTTTATCCCCAGAGCCCGTTACCCACTAGGCACAAAACAAATGTTTGCTAAATGATCAAGAGGGGTCAGAATCACTCTGTCATTTTCTGAGTTTTGACTCATTGAAATGTTTACGGAAAATCATTTTTAAAAAGAAGTTAAGGACCAGGTGCAGTGGCTCATCCCTATAATCCCAGCACTTTGGGAGGCCGAGGCAGGAGGATCACTTGAAGTCAGGAGTTCGAGACCAGCCTGGCCAACATGGTGAAACCCCGACTCTACTAAAAAAAATACAAAAATTAGTGGGCATAGTGGAGAGTGTCTGTAGTCTCAGCCACTCAGGAGGTTGAGGCAGGAGAATCGCTTCAATTCTCCTGGGAGACTTCTCACTCCTGGGAAAATTCAAGCCAGAGGTGGAGGCTGCAGTGAGCTGAGTTTGTGTCACTGCACTTCAGCGTGGGTGGCAGAGCGAGACTTGGTCTCAAAAAAGAAAAGAAAAGAAAAAAAAAAAAGAAATTAAGACCGTAAGTACTATTTTTACAGATTCTTGCAGCTAGCTGTTCTATGCCAGCCATAGCAGAGGTAGGAAATCATCCCAGGAAACATAGGGGATGTGTGGACTGAAGGATCCAGAATTGGTAATTTAGAACTGATTGAATTTTAAGGACTCCCAAAGAAATATGTACAAATACCAGGAAAGGATATAAGAAATACTAATATATAAGAAACAAATACTAGGAAAAGAATATTCTCAACACCTCCAAGCTTGGCAGGATGGAGACAAACAATTCGGAGTATATTTTCCAACTATCCACAAATGAACACTTACAACCTGCCTGGCAATGTTTTAAAGCAAGTATTAAATAAATATTTGCTTTACAAATGTTTTTCTTGTATTATAAGATACATGTTGGCTGGATGTGGTGGCTTCTGCCTGAAATCCCAGCACTTTGGGGGGCTGCGGTGGGAGGATCACTTGAGCCCAGGAGTTCGAGACCAGCCTAAGTGATATAGTGAGACCTCCACCTCTACAAAAAAATAAATCAGCCTGGCACAGTAGTGCACACCTATAGTCCCAGCTATCTGGGAGGCTGAGGCAGGAGGATTGCTTGGTCCGGGGAGGGCAAGCAGTGAGCTGTGATGGCACCATTGCACTCTAGCCTGTGAGACAGAGTGAGACCCCGTCTCAAAACAAACTGGTGTGTTGGTGGTGGAAGATGAAGAATACCCAATGAGAGAGCCCTGCGTGGAAACCCATTCCCCTCTCCTCAGGGGACCACATGGGTTCTTCTACCTACTTTTTGGGAGAGCTCCCAAAGGAGCCCCAAGTTGTTTCTGCGGCCTTCCAACCATCCTTTATTGAGAAGACACCAGAGGGAAATGAAAGGCAGTTTTATGACAAGTCTAGAAGGTGAGACGTTCAGTCCAGCAGTTTAGAACCCAACTGAGAGACACTGGGGCAGGTGGGCATGTGTGGA